CACAGAAAGACCATGTTATGTTAGTACTTCAAAACATCATTTCAGGAAAAAAATCGTTTCAGAAATGATGAGTAAGCAAGAAGGAAAAGGACCTGAGGGGAGGAAACAAACAAACAAAAATATCGAACAGAAATGAAAAGGATTTGAGAGAAAATAAGGAGACAGAAAAGGGGACGTGGTGGTGAAATCTGATTCATGTATAATTAGAGTCTCTGAAGAAGAAAATGAAAGTAACAGAATTCTAAAAACTTGAATTCAAGAAATAGTTCCTGGGTTGGGAGAGAAAGAGGGGGGGGACTTGAACAACATAGTAAAAGGCATACAAAGTAACTAGGAAATTTGAGCTAAAATATGCAAAAATATATATTCTGATAAAATTACAGAGCTTTTGGGCATATACTCCCCCTTTCCTGTCCCCATCCCCATCCCACTTACAAAGGAAAGAAAATAATACTGGCATAAGACTTTTCATCACCAGTACTTCATGCCATAACACAGTGGAAAACATATTTAAGATATTCAAAGAAAGAAAATATAAGCCAAATATTTTATATCCGAACTGACTGTGAAGAATAAAGTCTACAGTTACCAGTATGAAAGAACTCAACATGAGAACTTCCTGAGGAATCACCTAGAGGATGAGCTTCAGAAACCAAAAAGTCATTGGCATAAGGCGCATATATTTAACTATAGAACTAAGACTCGAGAGATAAGGTGACAGAACAGTATGTCAATATCATGCGTTGGCAACATAATACAACAAATATGGAAAAGAGAAAGCATATGGAAAGTATATGCCAATTAAGGATACCATTTCAAATGAGGTGCTAGAGGAAAGAAGAATTCCTAGCTAATTCCATTGTTACTTATTATAGATAATATCTTAAAAAGGGGACTAAGTGAATTACATCTTTTTTAGATACTAGTTGTAACGTTATTACTTATAATAGATATATTAGTTTTAATAGTTATGGTAACTCTTAGAACAAAAACAGCCTTGATACATACTAAAAGATAAATTTTAAAAAAGTGGGAGGACAAAAGAAACAGATCATATCATAAAAGACCCTATATATAAAGATTTGTGTAGGCACACCCATCAGAACATCTTCCAGCTTAATGTTTTCTTGGTAGAATGCTTATTAGGGTTTTCTGTCATTGCTGTTGCTTTTTTGCTTATTAGTTTTTAATACCTCAAAACTTTATAGAATCTATTAATCTCTTAATACTCTCATTTCCAGCTGAATTTGCATGGGAAAATTAGTATTAAATCCTCAAAATGTAGTACAATATTTTTAATAAAACATGTATGTTTTACAGAGCCAGCCTGTGGCTCACTTGGGAGAGTGTGGTGCTGATAACACCAAGGCCACGGGTTCGGATCCTATATAGGGATGGCCGGTTCGCTCACTGGCTGAGCATGGTACTGACAACGCCAAGCCAAGGGTTAAGATCCCCTTACCAGTCATCTTTTAAGAAAAAAAAAAAAACGTTTCAAGTTACATTCCAAATTCAACACGTCAGAATCATGTAGGCATGTTGAAAAGTGAGGCATGCATTGTCTCACATGGTGGCACACCATGTTTTTACATTAAAGGCAACTATTTATTAATAACTATACTAATTGTTTGGTCACCAGGAAATCATTTTTAAAAGTTTACTATGTAATGTAATATATGTAGAGTAACATGTTACAGGTATGCATTTACTGTGCTTTAGTTATTTTTGAGGAAATTGGTTGGGAATGTGGGGTTTCATATGATGCATGATAGTTTTTCCCTTTTAAAATAAGGGAAATAAGCCCCTAGGGAGTGTTTTCCCATAGAATGTCAGCCTTTAAGGGCAGAAGACTGACAGTAAGTAGAAGTCTGTATACAGAAATATAAAATAACATGAGAGATGTAGATCAAACTTATCAATTGTATGAATAAACTGGCTTATTGAGTTTAAATAGGCTTAAGTCAGCTATTAAAAAGATTTTTCAGGCAGGCCTACAAAGCTGTGAAAAATTAAAAAGATAAAGGATAGGCAAAGAATATCAGGCAAATGAATATACAGAAAACTGGTTGAGATCTTACCAAGCACTCAGGCCCAAACCATTATTTAAGATGAAGACCATCTAGTAATGCTAAAGGCTAAAATTTAACAATGAAGAAGTAATCGTTATGAAAATCTATTAAACAAACCATACAGCAACCATCTTTACAAAGCAGAAACTACAGGAAATGCAAGGAGAAACAAACATACTAATAGGCAACTTGCAAACACCTCCTTCAGTCCAAGACAGATCCAGACATATATATCACTAGTAAAAGTTTCTGAAGATCTAAAAATTTAACAAGATAGAACAGATTCATATCAAACTCTGAACTCCAACAAAAAGCACATCTTTCAAGGCCATACGGACCATGTCTGAAAACTGACATGCCACATCTTTAATGCCAAAAAGACTTTGATATTTCAAAAAACTAGAAATAATACAAACCACATTCTCTGCCTGTAATGCAACAAAACAAGAAATTAATAAATCTAACAGATTAAATTTTGTGGTCCAAGAGGAAAAAGGAAGTGAAAGTACATAAACTCCTAAAAATAACAACAAGGAAACAAGACATAAATTCTATGGACATAGCTTAAATACTGCTTTGAGGAAGTTTCATTGTATTAAATAAACAGGCAACTCAAAAAGGAAGAAAAAGTAGAAGGAATTAATAAACATAAAAGTAAGAATTTATGCTAGAAAAAGAGAAAAATGAATGAATGAGTGAATAATAAGCAATCAAGCTGGCTTTTTGAAAGTCTTCCTTTTTCAGTGTTCTGGAATAAAGTAATACTGAAATTATCTGATTTTGGAATTTCTCCATGATTCTAATTATGCTGAGATTAGTTTTAGTAAATTATATTTTCCTAGAAAACAGCCCATTTTTGTCCAGGTATTCAAATTTAGTTGTCTAGAGTTGTTTAGAACAGTTTTACAATTTTTTTTAAAGAAGTTCCTTCGTTCTGAAGATTATCTCCCTGTTTTCATTTCTTATTTGTGTGTTTGTGCTTTCTCCCCCCTCCTATTTTTAGGTTAGCTGTAGGCTGTTTTACTGATTTTCAAATTGTTTTTACAGAATATAACATTGATACAAACCTTACAAAGATAGGGCCAAAAAACAAAAAAAAATCACTGACAAATCTCTTATGCATAATGATATAAAACCTTAAGTAAAATATTAAAAGAATACTATTAAAAAGATAATACATCACGACTAAGTCCTATCTATGCAAGGGTGGCTAAGGATTAGAAAATCCATTAACTAAAGGTTTAATTCATGGATGGATATAATTCACATTGAATACTTATGGAGAAAAACCCTATGATCACCTCCACATATGCAAAACAAAGAAACAAAAGCCCAGATAAAATTCAATACACGTTAATAATAAAGACACAATAGGAATTTATAGCTATTTCCTTAACATGATCACACACACACACGAGACAAAAAACGATTCAAAGAGGTAAGGTAACACTTGAGAGATCTTGCTATAAAGTTAGAAACAAGAATACCTTCTATTTCTGCTATCATTTAACATCGTTTTGAAGATATTGTAAGGCAATTGGACAGAAAAAAGCAATTTGGAGTACAGGAATTAGAAAAGACTTTTTAAAGCCTCTAAAACTCTCCTTTCAAAGAAAACTGTGTATCTGGAAGACCCAAAAAGATCGAAGAAAAAACTATAAGAAAATATAGTAAAGTAGTAAGATATAAAATTAATACAATGGAAATGGATGAATTCAGATATGGCACATCCCGTCACATCAGAAAGCAAAAAATCTTTCAAAGAGCACTGGGATCACATCACAAGGGCCCAGAAGCCAGTCTGGCCTATGACATGACATTCTGAACATCATGAAGAATGGCTACAGTAGATGGAAACCCACTAAATACATCCATGAGTTTCAGTCAGCTCTGAAGGTCTCTTTAAGGGCCCAACTCATCATTCTGAAAACTAAGAAAGAGAATCAAGGGCCGACCCTGTGGCTCACTCGGGAGAGTGCGGCGCTGGGTGTGCCGCGGCCGGTGGTGCGGGTGACACCACGCCAAGGGTTACGATCCCCTTACCGGTCACACACACACACAAAAAAAAAAAAGGAAAGAAAGAGAATCGAGCATTTTTCCTGCCTTCCCTGTTCAAACTGCAATTTAGAATAACCAAATAGTTGATGAAATTCATTATAGAATTTCAGGATTAAGTCTAGAAGAAATGACAGAATTAGAAAATTAGCATTTTGCAACCCCTGATGAAATAATGAATCAAGGCAACAATCATCGGTGGATACTAAAACCATTTACAATTTTAGCTTTAGTTTTAGTTTAAAGCTATGGAAAGTTAATGGGGAAATTTATAATAGTGTGATTGGACTGCTCTCCATCCCACCCCTACCCACCCACCAATCGACCTTAGCAATTCAAAAATGGGACAGTCAGACTTTACATGCCTCATGATGTATTATCAAAGGAAGTACACTGCTCCAGTCATGAAGTACTCTCGCCTCTAAATCTAACTACTAGTTTACAGGAAATATGGGAGGTAGAGGAGCAAGATAAGTGACACCAGGAGGAAGCAATCAGGCAAAGCTAGAACTAGACATTGTACAGAATAAATCATCCAATTCTCCCAACTTGATCACAAGATAAAATGGAGGGAGGAAAATAAATGTTAAAAACAAAGCCCTCATCAGAGACGCATGCTAAATATATTACAGGTAAAATAACATGATTTCTGGTATTTTATTTGTATTCTAGGAAAAAGAAAAAAGGTAGAATAGATGAAATAAGATTGGCAAAGTTATATAAAAATTATTGAAATTGGAGGAGGGGTACATGGAGTTCATTGTACTCTTGTTTCTCTATCAATGTTTTTTTAAATTTTTTTTTTTTAATGAAAATTTTTAAAAAGAAAATGAATGCACATGGCCAAACCCTAATACCTTGTTGTTCTGCTTACAGGTGCCCATTTTCATTCCCATCTTGGTGACTCTCTTATCCGTGTTTTTGGTTCTGGCCCCAATCATCAGTAAACCGGAACTGGAGTATCTCTACTGTGTGTTATTTATGTTGAGCGGCCTTATATTTTACTATCTTTTTGTCTACCACAAGTTTGGATGGGCTCAGAAAATCTCAAGTACGTATCAACAGAAGGACTCTTCAGACAGACAGAGCATCCTACAACCTCACCTGTCTTGATTCTACCATGACTTCCTTATCACAGGATCTCACATGGCTAGCAGGTTTCACCTCCTTTTCAAGAGGATGTGTGACCCACCCCCCTCAGTGTAACACCTCTGGGTCCACCCTTGGTCTTCTTTGTTCCTGTCAGTTACTGTAACAAGTAGGAAGGAAAACGCCATTTTCTTTTTAATAGTAAAATACACATAACATAAAATTTACCATCTTAACCACTTTTAAGTGTACAGTTCAGCAGTGTTGGATGTATTCACACTGCTGTACATCTCATGTCTGGAGCACCATTTTCTTTGCCTGATATACAGACATCTAAGAGGCTCAGCAGCATTTTAAAGATACCAGAAAATGTGGTGGAGTTGGGACTGGGGAATTGGGATGAGTGCCTAAGCCTTCCAATGCCAAGGCCACAAGTCTTCCTTTCCATTCAGCAGTCCTGATCCTCATCTATTTTAGGATAATTGTTGCTTAAAAGTTTAGCTATATTAGCCACTTTCACTTTTGAAAAGAAAGTACTGTGTCAAAGTACATCGAAAGAGACTCTGAATTGCACCTATTTTTCAAAAAGTCTATATTATATTCAGAATGTTTTATCCTATACAGCAGATTCAGTTGTAGGAAACCCCATTTATAAAAGGTTCAAAGCTTCTGAGTACCCTCACCAGGCGATGACGTAATCAATGGCCTGCTTCCTGGTCTCCCTCTCCCTATACTGAGTTCCTTGAAGACGGGAGTTGGGCTGTGCATAATTTAATCCGGGATCCAGCACAGTGTCTGAGTAAATGTGATTAAAAACCCATTTCTTCCTTACTCTTGTTCAGCTTGTCCAAACAGGAAAGTACAACCACCCCTTCAGGCACTCCTATGTGGGTTTTATTTATATACCTGAAACTTAGGGAGAATACACGAGGTGTGAAAGAGTGAAGCCCAACTAGAAGGCGAGGAAGCTGACTGAGAATGCCTCTCTTCAGCTTGGGCAAGTGCCAGATCCTCTCTCTACCTCCATTTCCTCATCAGTGAAACCTGGTACCATCACTTATCTGACAGTGGGGTTATAACCAAGAGAGAATTTATTTCACGTTGATTAACAAAATGAAACAAAAGCAAAATATGGCTACATTATTTCCACCAAAAACTCTTCCCTTTCCTGAAACAGCTCCCTCCACCCCCATCTACTATGATCTAAACCCTCAGCTGAGAAAGGGAGAGCAAGCACACTCCTATAGAAAGAAAGAAAATTTTTTTTTGTCTTTTTCCGTGTCCGGCAACAGATCGCAACCCTCAGTGTCGCCCCCGTACCAGACCGGGGACCAGCAATGGGATCGCAACCCTCGGCGTTGCTCCCGCGCCTCGCTCAGCCAGTGAGCGGGAACCGGTCTGTACGCGGGATCCGAACCCTCGGGGGGAGTGTGGGCGGCGCACTGTAGCAGTGCACCACCAGGCCGGCCCAGAAAGAAAGAAAATTTTTTAGTATAAGAAAAACAGGGCTTGCTGGTTAGCCCACTTGGTTTGAGCGCGGTGCTGATAACACCAAGGTCAAGGGTTCAGAGCCCCATACTGGCCAGGCACCCCCCCCAAAAAAAGAACCACTTTTTTCCATGACTCTGAAAATGAACTTGGATTTGATCATACTGCCAGGATGACTTGCAACCTAATGGTATAAAATATGTCTTATTTCTCAGCTCTAGAACCCTTAACTAAGCTGCTCCCTACCAAAACTGATAAGAAGTTGGGTTAAGGCAGTTAAAAAAAAAAAAAAGTGAACAATCTTTTTTTTTTTTTTAAAAAAAAAAAAAAGATAACCGGCAAGGGGATCTTAACCCTTGACTTGGTGTTGTCAGCACCACGCTCACCCAGTGAGCAAACCGGCCATCCCTATATGGGATCCGAACCCGTGGCCTTGGTGTTATCAGCACCACACTCTCCCGAGTGAGCCACAGGCCGGTCCTGAACAATCTATTTTATTTTATTATTATTATTTTTTTGTCTTTTTTCGTGTCCGGCAACGGATCACAACCCTCAGTGTTGCGCCTGTACCGGACCGGGACCGGCAATGGGATCGCAACCCTCGGTGTTGCTCCCACACCTCGC